ATCTATGGCAAAAGTGACACGAGGGGGTAGTCCGGGAGAAAGTGTGCTTTAGATTAGAGCTAGATGAGTGGGTACAAGAAGAGTTGAATGATACATAGTGGAGTATGACACACCCACAGGCTATCGCTTTACTAAATAATCATTTTTGGAATTCATTCCTGTCCCGTTTTGATATTAACAATCCATGCACCTTTCAATCCGTGTCCTTGTTGTAACTGCATTATTCATCATTCACACCACTAATCATTTGTTTCTCTATTACATTATTTATTTTTTAGGGGCTCAGCATATTTGCTGGGTTCCCTTCAGCACACATTTTTATCCCTATGTGATTTTGCTTTTGTTTTTTGTGTGCTGTAAAGTCTATCAATAATAATAATGTATACTTGTACTACCTGCATGGCAATTTTAGTGAAGAGGTGGAACATTATTCTTATGTTGCATAGAAAGTTTGAGCTGATTCCAATCAATTGGATTTGTTTATTAATTTTTAATGAGTGTGTGTGTGTGTTGTGCAAATGATGTTTATAACTGTGTACACGTACATGTACACAATGTATATCTACATGTATGTTATATTACATAAACCTTTCACAGTCTCCTACTTCATCCCATTGGTTGAGACACGGAAAGAATCCAACGACACGAGGATATCTCGTGTCTATGCTACAGTTAAGGTAGGAGCTCACTCAGCTCAGCTCTGGATCCTCACATGAATAGGTGTGACACGGTGACAGTATCTTCAGTGGCGGATCTAGGGGGGGGGGTTCCATGGGTTCCATGGAACCCCCCTTTGGCAAAAGAAGTTGTCTTTTTGCAGTATCTTTGGATTCTTTGCAGTCAGTTTGTATCACTTTTCCTCCATTTTATTAATTAAAATTGATGAGCCACACCCAAATTTTAATTAAAATTAATGAGCCACACCTATTTAAGTGAAATGGAACCCCCCTTTTAATTTTTCTGGATCCGCCAGTGATCTTAAACCACAGTTGGAGTTATTATTAAACTACTCATGAATAATTCTGTTTGTGCCTATTATTAACGACTTGTCATAATTATGCCACCATGAAATGTTTAAAACAGATAAAGAGATGTTTATCTATCATTTAATGTTATTTTTCCAATAATATTTTTGCACATGCAAATCCCTCATTTTTTGTGCACACTATGCAGAGAGTGTCTATTGAGCAGTGGCAACATTAAAACAATAACAAAAAAATTCTAAACTATTTACAAGGTAAGCATCACTTTCAATCACTTTCATCACTAGCCTCACTCTCACACAGAGGAGTCTGGTTGAGCAAGAATATTTCATCGCAACTAACATCACTCAATAAATCTAAACTTACATTAGACGGATAGCTTCTCATACTACTAATATCTGATATTGTATGATATCCACTGGTAACAGATTCAAATGAGTGTATACTAGTAGTATCATCATCTTCTATATAGTGTTCTTTTAAATAAGTAATAAGTAATAGAGTTATTTCGATGCTTTTTGTTTTTGCATGCATTGCAAATTGTAATGCAGTGTAGCCTTCATAAGTTTTAATAGTTGGATCAACTTTCCATTCTAATAATACCTTAACTGCTTCATAACGTCCATGAAGACAGGCAATCATTAAAGCAGTAACACCTTTTTTGTTTTGTACATTAGGATCAATTTGTTCCTGAAGCAATAGTTCAACTATTTGACTGTCACCATTTTCACAAGCCAACATAAAAGCATTGTAACCATCTTCATTTTGAATGTTAGGATCAACATGTTCCTTTAGCAACAGCTCAATTACTTTAGTGTGACCTTTCACACAAGCAAGCATAAAAGCATTCCAATTATTATTGTCTTGATCATTGGGGTCAATTTTTTCCTTTAGCAACAGTTTAACCGTTTCAATTTGGCCTTTTGTACAAGCAAACATAAAAGCATTCCAACCAGATTTGTTTTTAACATTAGGATCAACTTGTTCCTTTAGCAACAGTTGAACTATTTCAGTGTTGTCATTTGTACAAGCCATCATAAATGCATTTGTTCCATTATGTTTTTTGACATTAGGATTAACTTGTTCCTTCAGCAACAGTTCAACTATTTGCTTGTGACCATTTTGACAAGCCACCATTAAAGCATTCACTCCATCTTCTCTTTGATATTTATAATCAACTCCTTTACTAATCAATAGCTCAATGACATTATAGTTACCATAGTAACTACCAATAATTACAGCATTTGATCCATCTGATGTCTTCAGGTGAGGATTAGCATTAGCTTGTAGTAACATGTGAATGATTGAAATGTGATTATTCATGCCTGCTATCATTAGTGCAGTCCATCCCATGTTGTTCTGAATGTCAGCATTAGCTCCAGCAGACAGTAAACTGTACACAATGTCCTCATGTCCTCTTTCACATGCTAACATTAGTGCTGTCCAACCTACTTTATGAGTATGATCAATATTAATAGCTTTAAGTTGAAGAAGAAGCTCTACTGCTTCATTATTACCAGCTATGACTGCCTTAAGGAGAGCTAGTTCAAAGGTGAAGTTCATATTCTCATTTTCTTGAAGGACAGGATGATTATTAATGTATAAACTAAATATACCAATGAGACGCATAAACTGTAACTTTCCTCCAGTATGTTCTATTAAACTATCAGCTGTAATGTCAAGAATATGTAACTTAATGACAACAGATCCTGGCTCAATAGTGATGCATTTCATTAATGATTGTCTGAGTTCTTTTGGTAGTAATCTTTCAATGAGAATATATAGTCCATTAATCTTAACTTCATTCCAAGGATTTTGTAGTTCAATACAGATCAATGGCATATTCTCCAAATGTCATCTATAAGGTCCATACACTTTACGTAGCTTTTGTTTGAGTTCAGTGATTGGTCTTGATGAGCGAAATGTAGTAGCATTTAAAGAATAAACCTTTAGTTCATCAAGTAGATCTTCTTCATCACTGATAAACTCATTTCATTACACATAGCAACTATCAGACTACAGTCAATGAAATCATAATAATGATAGACCTTCTGGAAAATATGAACTAAATCGTTATTTGATGTGAATATACCAGGTTCCAAATGAATATAACTTTCAAACCAATTGCATATTTCAACGGATAATAGGGAGTTTTTATTTACTTTTTTAAGAAAAATGGATTTTACTTCTCTCATGATGTGAGAAAATTTTACTTGTAACTCATCCAAAGAGCTTTGAACTTTTTGATCATCTTTTGGGAAAAATATAATTTCAACATCTAAAGCACAAAATGAATTATGAATCTGCTTAGTAGAGTCTATTATAACTTACCATCAAAATTTGATGTTATTGATGAATCTGTAGAGAGAGCATCACTGCATATGTGATCTTTAATATCTTGAGCTAGTTTATTCTGATTTATACTAGTCAGTGCATCAATGACATCACTCCATGTTGCTCTAGGATTAACTGACAACCATTTCAAGTATAAAGATAACTTTCTGTCTTCAATTTTTACGCTTTCTTGTTCAATTTTTAAAATGTCATGCTCTTTCATTTCAACTAAACATAACCCAAATCGTTTCCAGTCAACAAGTGGTTCAAGCCATTTCATTAATGATGAAAAATCAGGTCGATCATCAATCGTAGGACCAGGATTGAGTTCAACATCTCCTGATAAGAGGAGAAGTTTACGGAGACAAACAATCAAATAGAGATCTTTGTAAATCAGGTTAGAACTGCTACCTCCGGGTAAGACTACTGATTGGAGGTAATTTGTATCAGTAACAGTAACACCAGTAGTACATTGTACTTGGTAGCAGTTACCTAATAATAAAATACCAGTAAATATACAAGTAGCTACAAAGTTGCAATTGTTGTTTACCTGTGGGAGGAATCATCAAAATGTGTCTTAATAAAGAGAGAGAGAGAAAGAGGAGGAGGAGGAGGAGGAAAGCAATAAGAGACAGAGCTGCTGGCAGTTTAGATGTCTTCTCTCCTGATGTAGTACTGCCTGACTTGCTGTCTACTGCAGCTTTGAATGAGTGAGAGTGGTGGCCATTAGCTGGTCTACTGGAGGCAGCTTGACAGTAGTTCCACAGTCCAATACTTGCTCTCCATTGAGAGACATCAATCATTTTTTATAAGACAGAGATGAGTGTTCCTTGCTCCTGAAAGTAAACTAGACACACACCCCAAAAGTGGGCACAAATCTCCTTATAAAGACATTGGCAAAGAATACTCCAAAGATAACAGGTGGCATCTTAGATATCCTCAAAAGATTTTTGTGTAAACATAGGTTTATCATGGGTACACTTACAACTAGTTACACTTGTAGGTTTAAATGAGTGAGAGTGGCAGCCATTAGCTGGTCTACTGGAGGCAGCTTGACAGTAGTTCCACAGTCCAATACTTGCTCTCCATTGAGAGATATCAATCATCTTTCATACCTTTATACTTTAATGGTAAAAACTTAGCAGAGCAAAAGTGGGTGTATGTGTGACTTGGTAATAAATTTAATCATTATCAGAAAAAGTGTGCTTCATGATCAGCTGCTACTTGAGAAGCAGCATTATCATTATGCCTAAATTGGGTCATTTGTGTGCTAAAGCGTGTAATGCATTATTTACACACTTATCTTCATCATATCAGGACAGAATTGAGGCCCACCCTCAAATTGAGGGTATGCTGCAGAAATAGTTGCAGACTAAGTATGTTGTAATTTCACGTTCCCTATGGTGAGCAAGTTTAATTCCTCACTGATTCCTATAAATTTTACTCACAGCAAAGAAAAGCTAAGATGCATGACTGTCATTCCTACCCTACACATTTTTTATTACTAACATAACACCCACACCACTGCTTATAATTTGTGTATATAATGTACATTTTATTAGTACATAATATATATAATCAGAGTATTATTGTACTAGAAACACTGATAGTTGCTAACTGTTGTCACTGCGATGGAAGAGAAATCAACCAGAGTGGCAGTGAGAGTTAAATAGTAAATGCTATAAAAAATAGCAACATTTATGGTTACTTACAACATGTTGCTTACAAGATCAAAATGTTGCTACATACATGTATTCTGTATTATGTTAATATGTTGGGTTTTATCTAATTATAATGGGCGGGGCTTACACTATGTCTAATTAATTTAAAATGGCTGACAACAAGATGGCAAATGATCCTCAAAGCAATGAAGAATCCCACTGGAACGGCTCCCTCGTCCTCCTTGTCCCGTATCTAAAGGAACTGGTCACATACATCTCCGTCTCCGCCATGATATTCGGTGGAGTGGTCCCGTATATTCCCCAGTACAGGAAGATCAGAAAGACAAGAGACTGTGAAGGGTTTTCAGTTTACGTCTGTCTCGTACTCCTAGTTGCTAATATACTTAGGATATTCTTTTGGTGAGTCACATGTTATTTACTTTAAGTCCACTGTGTAATTGTGTGTACTGAAATCAAAGCAATCTTGATATTGCATGCAATGATGTATATATTTGTACTACCTGGCAATTTTAGAGAAGTGGCGCAACATTTTAAAAATGTATATATACATGTTTTTATGTTGTGTAGAAGTTTGAACTGCTTCCGATCAAAATTAGGTTTTTTATGAATTTTTAACGCTACTCAAAAATTATACTAAATTTGACCAATTGTTGCCAAAAATGAAAAGTAGAGAATTTTTTATTTTTATAATTTTTTCTAATACATATACATGTTCTTGTGTTGTGTAGAAAGTTTGAGCGGATTCCGATCAAAATTGAATTTTTAATGAATTTTTACCTTTACTCAAAAATTCGACAGAAGCCCCTGTACTATAGTACAGTGATTTTGACCAAATTTCACCAAAAACGAAAAGTAGAGAAATTTTCATTTTTATAATTTTTTCTAATACATATACATGTTCTTGTGTTGCGTAGAAAGTTTAAGCCGATTTCGATCAAAATTGAATTTTTTTACGAATTTTTAATGAGTGAGTGTGCGTGTGTGTGTGTGTGTGTTGTACATGTTTACTCTTTATAATGTACACATGAATAACTGTGTACATGTACATGTACATGTACATGTGTGTATGTACATGTACATGTGTGTATCTATATGTGAGTATCATGATTGTGTGTACTGATTATGATTCTGTCATGTGCTTTGTATTGTTAATATTCACGAGCTATTTATCAGTTAATTGGAAGAAGAACACAACTTGTGAATCTTATTCATTTTTTCATTCTCTTCATTTCGGTGTAACTAATGCAGCAAGCCAGTAAAGCATTAAAATAACAAATATGTAGTTTAATTAGCCAGGAAGCTATAGTCTTATATAAATGGTAGTGAGTAATGAAGCATACAGTTCAAGTAGTAATATGAAACAATGCAGTAGGAGCACTGAGTAGTACATGTACATGTACATTGCTCATCATGTGCAAGTTACCGTATATCGGGTATATTTCAATGCATGAAAAGTGGTGGAAATATTAAGTTCAATGATGGAATAATTCGGAAGCCTTTTATATTCCGAAAATATTTTACTTGCTATTATTTCCATCAACCACCTGGTTTGGTAAGTCATTTGAAGCATTTGCTGACTTCTTCACTTCTGAATCAACCTTAGCAACACTTCTAACTGGCAAAGAAGGCTCTTTATGGCCTTCGAGTTAGACTAGAATGTAGCTATGGATAGTTATGAAGCCACGTGTTCATAATAATTGCACAATACCACATATCTTCTATTCCTTTTTATCCGCATATTTTAAAATTTCATAATATTTATTTTCGCAATGGATTGCTTTTTCCGAAATTATTAATGCATTGAAATATACCCGATATACGGTATGTCAGACCACAAAGCCACCCACCACACAAGATACAACCAACCCCCTCTTCAAAGTCATGTGTCTTTCTGTACACATACATTGTATTTCATTGAATTCATATTTATAGTGATCAATGATTATGATTAGTCATTTAAAGTACAGAGTCACATGCTTTAGTCATGTTACTGAACTCATCATATTCATTTGATTGCATTTCTAGTAGTTTAACTACATCTTAACATGTCATGAATATGAGATCTCATTGATCGAGTTCTGTCTACTCTATTTTTTGTTTTCTGTTGTGGTTCATATTTAGAATTTTATAATTTTAGATTAAATGCTCATGTACAATTGTACATGTACATGTAGCTTCTTTATTCTTAAAGCAAATAAGAAATAGCATTTTAAAGTTTTTATTTAGCCAGCTTAAAGTTAAATAGTAAAAATAGCAGCAAGTAAGGCAGCAATACAGCTTAGACACTGATATAAAGCAATACAGTAGCAGCAATCAGAAGCACAATGCTACCAGCTAGAGACACACCAGATGAAGGAGTAGCTTGTACTGATGAGGTAGGAGTAGGTCCCATTGAACTAGTACTAGCTGTTGGATCAACAGCATCTTCATAGAGAGGATTAGGATCAGTGGCTAGTCCAGTAGGACAACCATAAGTAGCATCAGTAGTACTGAAACCAAGCTGATTTGGATTATTAGATACTATAGGACATCCTTTAAAGCAACCAATCATCCATGGGAAGTCATTTGGCATGTGATAATGATACTGCATCTTCCCATTGATCATATGAGTGTGACCACTGCAAGAATCTAACTGCGTTGGGCGCCGTCCACCCTGAGAGAACTGCCCGTACATTGGGAACCCGTCAAGCATATATCCTAGTAGCACGGAGTGTTCTCCTGGTGTATCTGTGGGTAGGTTGCAAGCAGTCCGTCCTGTAGAGTTTTCAATTGTGATTCCAGTATGTACGTGATACTGCCTCTGTCCACTAGCGTGACCCCCACATTGATCAAGACCGCTTCTGTTTTCAGCTTCGACGTCGACGTAACGAGACGGAGCGTTTGGGTCGTCTGCAGGACAAGGATGATTTCCACCACAGATAGCTGATGGCCCATATGCCACAACACCGTTCAAGAGGACGCCAACTGGCCCTAGTATTGGAGTAGGATTGGCACTCAAGTAGTACACTCCGGTATATTGCCTTAGCCTTTGCCCTGTGGGTATTGGGACGCTAGCAAACCTTGGAGTGTTTGGAATAGTGAAGTTTAGGTCCTGGATGCAAGCTTGATTTGGGTTAGACCAGCCAAGTGGGTATGGAGGGCATCCTGTAGTGGCAATGTAAGTGTAGTCAGCATCACTGGTAGTGGTTATCATAGTGTAGGGGCCTGAGGCAGGACACTGTACTTGACCATTTGGAGCACATCTCCTCTGCCCTTGCTGTCCTTGAACATTAGCTCCTAAAACTGACAAGAGAAGGAGGAGGTATATACAAGAGGACATCATCTTGCTCTTCTTCTCTTCAAGCCCTTGTTTGAATCTGTTACAGTGGGTGGTTTGAAATTTGAGACTACAATTATCAAATATTTATAGTCTACTATCCATGATTGTATTTGGTTTGAATATGATAATAGAGTGGTCATGTGTTAGACCATTGTGTTCTTGGGTGGGGCAAGTCTTGTTGTTGTTCCCTCTTCATTAGTAAAAGATGGCTTTGATGTATTTTATTCTCTTTGCTCTCTTTTCTTTCTCTGTGGCTCAGAGAGGGTGTGAGCCAGGACGTACCCAGTGCCCTACGTCTCCTCCTTATGATCCAGTCAATATCACTGCTGACTCCACTTACCGTTATATCACTACTGCAGGTCAAGACTATAAACATGACATGCACTTAATGTTTGGGATCATTGTAAAGTTATTTTATGCATATAGTGGAAGGTTTCTCTGACTTAAAGTTAAGAGTTTTCTAATTTTGCCAATATCTGAAAAATACCCAAGGCTATGGCCCATGCTTTTTTCCAAAAATGGCTTAAAAATCACTCCCAATTTTTTGCATTTTAAAAAAATTTTGATAGATATTGATGCCCTTATCCCAGAGGAGGTAGGACACGGTTGACCTTTGAGCAATAATTGCAAAGTTCAATTGCATTCCATTAGTGTCACATGATGAAAAATGGCAGCTTTCTGATGATTGTATCACAAAACTAGCTACTACTGCAGAAAATAGAGAGATCTATGACGACCCTTGATGGTTGTTAAAATCACCATTGTATGGAGAATATTTCTTCTTTGATTATAGACATAAATATAAGAAGGAGAAAGAGACAGTGCATCTTAACTTTGATTCTCTTCTTTACTTTATCAGATAAATCAATCTTTGCTAGTTTAAAATGTTAAAAATTACTGCACCTATCATAGTTTCTAGTGAATTAATGAAAGTCCCATTGACTCTATCTTGATGCTCTAAATTATTGTTAGAAGTGGTACTAGTGGAAGAATTTGGCCATTTTGCATCACGTGATACCAATGGAATGTAATTGAACTTTGCAATTATTAATCAAAGGTTGACCGTGCCCTACCTCCTCTGCCCTTATCCTATGTACAGTATGTAGAAAGTTAAATTTTGTGATATTAGCATTTTATATATCAATAGATACATGTACATGTATTATAAACGTGTTGTATGCAATGTAGGTTGTCCTCCATATCCTAATCCACACTGGACCAACCCAGCTACTGCCTGTACTAGCATTGAACAAAAATTCACTTTCCCTCTTGTAGCTAAGATAGCCCCCACCCCCATACCAGTGGGTGAGCCGTACGGCCGCTACGACGGAATCCTCTACCTCAAAGAAGACCCCTTGCCAATAATGGGCCCCCTGGGGGTCCTCACCAGCGGCGTGAAAGTTTTTGGCGTCGGGTCCTCATGTGGTTATAGCTCTAAATGTCCATCCGAGGGCGCCCCAACGAAATACGTTGATGCTGTTGAATCTGAAGGTCACACTGTTGATCAGTGTGGCGGCCATGCTGCCCCTACTAACGACTATCATGTTCACTCCAGTATTGGTATCAACACCACTGAAGGCCAGGCTAAGTGTGTTGTTCCAACCGATACCCCCGGACAACACTCGCCTTTAATTGGTTGGATTTTTGACGGGTACGGACTTTACGGGCAATATTCTGAGGGTGGGGTCAGACCGACTGATTTGGATTCATGTGGAGGTCATACTCATGAGATTAATGGGACTAATGTTTATCATTATCATATTCCTAATTCCTATCCGTGGAGTATTGGCTGCTTTAAAGGCTGTCCTCTTGTTGATAATAATAGGCGAGAGTTCCCTGCCCTACTTGCTAAATATGGCTGCCAATGAAGCTGTTAACCACCCATGCTGTGCTATTGATTGCTATTATCTTGTTAATGTTGCTGCTCTTTCTTATTATAAGTCAAATCTTGTCTTTCTTTAACTGTTACATAATGTTTTTTATGCTTTTGTGCATGTTAAAACCTATCAAATTTTGCAATACATGTGTACATGGGTGTATAATTTTTTTGTCAATTAAAACCAAAATTTTTATGCACATTATACATAGATACATGTTGTATCAATATCCATGAACTGCATTTTCTGAAATTGATACCTATAGATGTACATTGACTGACTTGACTCCTCTTTCATTTTTGATACATACTATTGATGTACATGTACTTACACTGTATGTTGTGTGGAAAGTTTGAGCTGATTCCGACTTCAATTTTTTAAGTTACAGCCATATTTTTAAAATGGCCAATTTTAAAAAAATACCCAAGGCTATAGCCCATATGGTTTTTTCTAAAAAATGGCTCCGAAATCACCCCAAATTTTTATTACGTTTTTTGATACATATTGATATCCTTATGCTGTGTAGAAAGTTTGAGCTGATTCCGACTTCAATTTTTTGAGTTATGGCCATTTTCTTAAATCGGCCAATTTTCAAAAATTACCCTGTACTATAGCCCATGGTTTTTCCTGAAAAATGGCTCCGAAATCACCCCCAATTTTTATTACATTTTTTGATACATATTGATGTCCTTATGCTGTGTAGAAAGTTTGAGCTGATTCCGACTTCAATTTTTCAAGTTATGGTCATTTTAAGGAAACGTCCTCTTGTTGATAATAATAGGCGAGAGTTCCCTGCCCTACTTGCTAAATATGGCTGCCAATAAAACTGTTACCAACCCATGCTGTACTATTCATTATTGTTATCTTGTTAATGTTGCTGCTCTTTCTCATTATAAGTTAGCCATTTTAAAAAAAGCTAATGCCAATTTCTGAAAAATACATGTATATGGTACTATAGCTCATGATTTTTCCTGCTAACAATTTTACATTAAACTGTAGAAAGTTAGAGCTAATTCTAATAGCAAAATTTTATACATGTATGTACATACATGTATTACCATACTACATGTATTTTGGCAGAATAAAGGTGTTCATTTCAAGAATAACCACACCTACCAAATGAACCTATTTATGTCTTATTAAGCATATCCCAAAAGTGCTTGGGGATATTGACAGATGAATAATTATTTTATTATGATTATCATTTAACTAAACTGCAGCACAAAGCATAAATGTAGCTGTTACATAATAGCAAAAATATAGCCAAGGTCATTATATTTGTTAGCAAAATAATACAAGTGTAGCACAATGCAAAAGCAATAGCTCAGACTTCAGTCTCACATTCTTTCAAAAATGCTTCCATCTGCTTCAAATTTTTCTTCAATTCGATAATCCATTCCGTTATCTGTTGTGCCGCATTAGAATTAGATGCACCTGTTTTCTTGTACTCGTGGACATCGTAAGCCGCTTTTAGCATCATTCCAAGATCTATGGGTATGAATATAACATCCAGTGCAACACTGCCCACACGTAATATTCCAGCTGCTGTTCTCAAACCATTCGCAGTGAGTCTAGCACCAGTAACAGCTGCTCGTCCGGCAGTAGCAGCTCGAACTGCTGTTTTAATGCCATCAACAGTAAACTCTGTAAATTTTCCTGCGTTGTAAGTAAACGCACCAACATATTTTGGCAACTTTCCATACGAGATATAGTGCTTTACCTGGTTCATCATACCCTCTTCACTGGTGTTATGCTTTTTAGACAGCGACTTTAGATGCTTATCAAGCTCTGCTCCATATTTTTCAATTTTAGCAGCCATTCCTGTATCTTCTTCTATAGCTTTTTGTGCATCTTTGCATTTGCTGCCAGATATGACATGGTAGCCAATTTGAGAGCCAGCTATGGTTGTTCCTCCTGCTGCGGCAAGAGCACCTCCAGCAATTGCTAGACCAAAGCCAACGCCAAAAGTAAAGAAACCACTTACAAACCCAGCAATACCCAATGCAGATCCAGTAACTGTGGCAACTGTACCTCCTATTATGGCCTTCTTGTGTTTGTCGTAGCTTTCTTTGACTTCAGTCCTTAAATCGCGCAATTTCTTAATGGTGTCCTTGCGTTGACTGATTCCCTCTTTCAATGCGTCACGTAAATCTTTGGTTGACTGTACTGCCTCATAGAACTCATTGTCATCAGTAATCTTTGTGTAAGACATAACCGGCTAGCTAAACCGAACGATATACAGTACGCAAGTCCAGCTAATCTTATATATTTTCTAGGAATAGCTACATTGTATACCATAATCACTTTAGGGAATATTGTTCGTGGCACATGACTCGCATGCTACGGACCGTATTAAAGATTCCGAGAACTTGGAATTAATAATATCTAAATAGAGCAAAGAATACATGTATCTTCCGAGAAATTTTATGAATATTTCAAATGCACAATAGCATGCACATTTTCTAATATGATTCATGGCCTTCTGTATGAATGTCTGTCCATGAAAAGTGTGATACACTTTTACTCTATTTTGCAGTAAGGTCAAATTGAGTATTGGAAACCTGAGCTTTCCTTTTAGAAAAAATTATAGGAAATGCTATGTTAATTTTGTGTACTATAGTCTCCAAAAATTGACTTTGAAATCACCCCAAGTTTTCTTATACATATTGATATTCTTATGCTGTGTGGAAAGTTTGAGCTGATTCCGGCTTCAATTTTTCAACTTATGGCCATTTTTAAAAAATGGCCAATTTTTTAAAAATACCCAAGGCTATATAGCCCATGGTTTTTTTCTGAAAAATGGCTCCGAAATTACCCCAAATTTTTATTACATTTTTTCATACATATTGATGTACTTATGCTGTGTAGAAAGTTTGAGCTGATTCCGACTTCAATTTTTCAAGTTATGGCCATATTTTAAAATGGCCGATTTTTGAAAAATACCCAAGGCTATTATATATAGTCCATGGTTTTTTCAAAAAATGGCTCCGAAATCACCCCAATTTTTTTACATTTTTTGATACTTATTGATGTCCTTATGTTGTGTGGAAAGTTTGAGCTGATTCCAACTAAAAGTTTTCAAGTTATGGCCCTTCATACTTTTCCAAAAAAGATACTGTGATGAAAATAATGATTTCTGTCTTGTTTTGTATGATAGGTTTGGTGTCCACTATGAGTTACCATTACTCATCCAGAGTCTCATTATGACAGTGACTATGTTAGTAATGATGCACATTTGTGTGACAGTAAAGAAAGAATCAGCTCCAACAACAATACACAGATCAATATGGGGTAAGACTCCACTATAGTATTCTGTACTTGTACATGTACATGTACTATAGTGTGTGGGTGTATCAAAGGCACCGCCACTGAGTTTATATAGTGGAGACCACAGGAGTGGTAGTTAGGAGTGTCATCTACTGCCAATAATGGTAGTTTTAATATATAATGCCTTTCATACACCCACACACTATAGTACAAATGTACATGTATTACAATTATAGTGTAAAAATTTTTTTTGCAGATTTTGCAATTTTTTGAAGATTCATAAAAATTACTTCCGCGAAAGTCAAAATTATTTTAGTACAAGGTGGCAGCCTGTATAAAATCATGAAAATCAAATCGACAAAATAGATTTTTAGGCAAATTTGTGAAATTTACAACCCTTGAAAATTTTGTGCTATACGGTATTGTGTATGATACATGTACATGTACATGTACACGTATGTACAAACCAATCTATAATCTCTTTTTGTGTTATGCTATTCCTTATCTTCTACTTTTACAGATATAAATTATTTCTGGAAGTGGACCGATTTCAGAGAGTACCTAATCTTCACTGGACTATTCTCACTTGTTGGATTCATCATTACTCTCCTCCTCATTAATGTTAGTGTTTTTGTTGAGCTCTTAGGCTTCGCCTCACTCTTCACTGAGGCAATGCTCGGCCTACCTCAGTTCTGGAGGAATTATAAACACAAATCAACTGAAGGAATGAGGTGAGAGAGAGAGAGAAATTTATAATGATGTTTTGTATTTTTATGCGTGTGAATAAAGGCTGGTTTACAATATATCAGGCCAGCGTACTGTCATTAATTTTTAATCAAAAGCATGGGCGATTTGACCTTTTGACGCATGCTTTCCGCTAGAATAGAACCAAATTTTATTTTTAGCAGCATCATATTACAATGTATTGTAAATCTACCTTTTAAGCATATATGCACATTAATAATCATTGGCAATTGTAATATTGGCTGAGATTTTAATCTCAAATTAGCAATCATGAAAAAGATTTTTATATCTTCTCTCTCCCTCCCTCCCTCCTCTCTCACTCCCTCCCTCCCTCCTCTCTCTTTCTCTCCCTCCCTCCTCTCTCTCTCTCTCCCTCCTCTCTCTCTGTCTCTCTCTCCTTCTTCCTGTTATTAGCATACAGATGGTGTTATTTTGGTTGAGTGGTGATACATTCAAGACCATATACTTCATAATGAGAGGTGCTCCTGTACAGTTTGTGGTCTGTGGGTCTCTCCAGGTCATGGTAGACATTGCCATCCTTTCACAAGTTGTGGTCTATCGGAAGAAAAGGCAGCACTTCATTAGTGCCAGTTTATCAATAAAGTCCTAATCATTGTTGATTATTATTATTATACTAGACACTTTTTTATTATTGTTAAAAATCTTATTTTATTTCTTTTTTTTCCAAAAAAAATTATTTCTCATGCTAGAAAAATGCAAATGTCTCCACAATTATATACATTATTTTTCACAGTACTGGTTTCTGTTTTACTAATAATTTACAGGATTAGTTACAGTAATAAATAATTATTATTAATAACAGTAATTAAAAGTAGAAAAGAATTGAAGGTGGCAATGATTAATAATTACAAAACGAGATTCACATTCTCTTGCAAAAATCATTTTCTTAATTCTAGTACATTTATTTTGTCTCCGAGATTAACAGTCCTTCCTGCTTGAAGGACAAGCCCAAACATTCCAAAAAGAGCTTTGTCAGGACCTCCTGGTGCCCTGTACTGTCTCAGGATATCAAGAGGACCAACTTTATCAGGTACGCCAGTCTCTTGATTGACACTGGGTACCTTACACCTCTGGAGATAATGAGAGAGAAAGGGAGAGAGAGAGAGAGGGAGGGAGGGAGAGAAAAAGGGAGGGAGAAAGAGAAAAAGGGAGGGAGGGAGGGGGGAGAAAAAGAGGAGTAAGAAGCCATTATTAAAGTTAATTAAATGAAGCTACATAAGATAGTTCAATAGCACTCAAGATAACATAAAATGTATGTATCATAGTCCATATAGGTTATATCTTTTTAATAAACATTTGCTAAATTTGTAATATGTAATACATTAACAAGCACTATGATATCTGAAGCTAATTCACACCTATAGTCCTACACATACATGTACATCGTACACTAAGAGAAACTATAAAGGGGCTATACTGTACATAGTACATACTATTGTAGGGTACACTCACATGGTTTTCAGAATATAGTAATATTGGGGCCTCTCCAACAGTAATCAGTAGCCACTCGTCCTCTTGATAAGGACGGGAGGCTCCAGTGAGTTCAATATTCATTCGAAACCGATCCAGAGTCACAGTATGACCGCCAGTATGGGCAGCCATTCTTGCATTAAGATCAACCAGGGACTCGTTAGAGACTATAGTAACCGGAGCAGCATCTGCTAAATCCACTTCCTGTAGTGGTAGCTTCTCTCTTAAGGATTGTGGATAGTACATAGATAATGGTCTAGTATATTCTGGCCTTTCTCCCACTGGACTATAGACCAATCTTATGTATTGTAGCCCCAGTGCTGTACTAAACCATTCCGATGCTATATCTCCTTGATCAACTGTTAATACTGTATCGTTCCAGACTGTGGTTTCTGTTAGTGGACCATCTTTTATTATCTGATGCGTCAAGCTTTGGCTCATACCAGGAGCGGTCACCATTATTGTCTCAGGGTTGATCCACTGTGGACTAATGGTCGCTAGTTGGGGGTATCTTCTTTGCGTGATGAAGCGAGAGTTGGCATCTACCAGCATCATTCTCCTATCTCCTATTACGCCGTACTTGTCAAGAGTTATGCTATCAAGCTTGCAGCCTTTGCAGGCTTTGATGGGGAAGATATTTAGACCAGTAACGACGATGTCTTCATAGCTTGTAGCAGCCATTTTATTTTGTTTTGTTACGCAAGGCCTGGCCTTAAGGTGTGATAAAAAAGGTGTGACTGAATCAATAATTGAAGAAGGTGTGTATCTACTGCCAATGGCTGAAGGCATAGATACTTCTGAAGGTGTCTCCTCTGGTATTGGTCAGTCTGATGCTTCAGGGGATATTGGAGAAAATGAATCAGAAGAAGACATTCATGCCAGACACAAAAGAGAAATGAAAGAATTAAAAGGTAATTTAATAATAACAGTTTTAATTATTATTATTCTTGCCTTTATCATGCTTTATGTTTTTGGAGACACTTACAGTGTATATGGTAGCCCATAGCTCCAAATTAATCCAAATATTCTGTGTTGCATAACAAGCGTAATATTATGTATTAAAAAATAAAAGCATCAAAGAGAATACTGTATAGTGCTTTAATTTGACAGAGTTTATTTTGGCGATTGGCGGTTTGCAAGCAGAATCACCAATATTAAAACCGCCAATCATTAATGCGCATGCTCAGTAATGCACATGTACAGAAAAATTACCAAATTAAAAACTGCCAATTACTATTTTATAGCAAAATTGCTAAAATAAAGTGCTATACGATATTGCACTTACATGTAACTCTCTCACTTTGCCCAATATTTGAAAAGTGATAAAATTATAATTTTCATAGGGAATATTGCACTTAATTTTTCCACTCACCCCAATATTTTATTAGGTAGGATTCAAGCATTAAAGAAATCAGTATCGAAAGGTGACAAGAAACGTAAGAAAGAGATAACGACTGAGATAGCTCAACTGGAGGCTGAGATTCAATCAAGACACGAAACAGAACTGACTCAACACACCTCCAGTGCTGCTGGTAGCAATAGTATAACTAATGATGGAAGCAATGAAGAGATGAGTGTGGCAAGTGTCATCAGTTCAACTGGTGACATGAAACTGAGGGAAGGAGAGGGAGAGGTTCAAAGGAAGTCAAAATCACAGAAAAAGAAGGTATTGTAGATGTACACTGTATATGGAGCATTTTCTGTTTGATTTTAGTGTTAATGATAATGTAGATTTTATTTTGTAGTGTAAGTTTTAGTGAATCTTACATGTACCTTCTGCAGCCATTTTTCCTATTGTGCCTCACTGCTTGTATGGAATTTGATTTTGCAAATTTAATGGAAATGCGATATTAGCGAAATTTATTTCCAATGAAGTATAAGTCCCCTATACTGTATTAAGCAATATTGTACTATTTTTATTTATTTTTTAATCTTTTTATTTTTTTATTTTTTATTTTAAGGAGAGAAAACAGAGACAGGAGCAAGAGAGGGAGCGAAGGATTGCTGAAGGAGAAGTTGAAGAGACTAACACGTCTCGTTATCAAGAGAGACAGAAGCTCCTCTCATTATTAGAACCACAAGGACTTACAATTAAAGATATACAGCCGGATGGAAACTGGTGAGGAGAAGGAGGAGGAGGGAGGGAGGGAAGGAGAGAAAAAAGAGGAGTAAAGTACAATGGGAATGAAGGGTATGAAATTTTGCAGTTTTTAGAATCACAAAAGTTTAATTCACGTCAAAAGTACACGTACATGAAATTTTTTAATACATGTACATGTACCTTTGCTATGTAGAATTTTGAGCTGATTCCAAATTTTTTGTGTCTGTACATGATTTTTAGGGAAGGTTAGACACCTATCATCATACATGATTGTTGCAATAATTTGCCGTGTATATGTACATGTGCATGTATATGTACATGTACAACGTATGCGCTTCAATTATATAGTTTTTCTTATTATTTATAGTCTTTATTCTGCTGTTAGTGACCAGCTGGAGTTGCTACATGGTAAAAAGGTATCCTATTATATTTATACATTATATTTTATATTTTAATACATTATTTATTTTTATAATTTATACATTATATATTATATTTTATATTATATTTTTCCTATTATATGTATGTATATTTATACAGTTTAATTACTAATTTTATTAATGTTTAATCTGTGTGTGCTCAATAGCACATGGCTAATTCAGTCAAATTTGCATTTTATTAATTTTTAAAGTTGCTCCAAAATTGGGCGAAATATATTCCATACACATGAATATACATGTACATTTGTACAGTATAGTTTTGGGGAAATATAATGTAATATTTAATAAGTCTGCTGTTTCATTTATGTGTGCATAATAGCAGGTATCAATTTTGCATTTTACAAATTTTAAAGTTGCTTGAAAACCGGGCCAATTTTCCCTGTACTTATAGTATAGTGTTTGACCAAAATTTCGCCAAAAATGACAAATAAAAAATTCTCCATTTTTATAATTTTTATCTGATACAATTACATGTACTTATGTTGCGTAGAGAGTTTGAACTGGTCCTATTCAAATTAAATTTTTTATGAATTAAAAGTTGACCCAAAATACTATGCAAGCACGTTATAGTTCTTAGAAATGGCTTTGAGACACTCTCCATTTTTAGATTAGTGTAGAAAGACTAAGAGAAGAATGTGGTAGTCATATTGAAGCTAATGCTGATCTCTTCATGTCATTTATAACTAATCCTGACACTGGAGACGCCTGTACTCCAGGTAAGGGAGAGAAGGAGGAGGAAAGAGAGAGAGAGGTGGAGGGAGGAGAGAAGGAAAGAGAGAGCATAAATATACATGCAAATTAAAAGAATAGTGGATGGGAAAAAGAGTGAGAGAGAGGGGGGAGGGAGAGAGAAAGAAAAGACTAAAACAGTTAGCAAAATTTATGTCTTAAATTTTATTTAATTTATGTAGAATATTTTCATTCGTATTGCACTGAAATAAAGGAAACTGCTGCTTGGGGAGGAGAAGCAGAGGTAATTAATGTAGTACATGTACATGTACACTAAAAATTTAATTTTATAATTTAAATTTAATGATGTTTTTATTTATGTACATTTACATTTACAGTTAGTGGCTTTGTCTCAAATTTATAAACTGCCCATTGTAATATACCAATCTGAGGCTCCTGCACTGTTTATTGGGGATGGAGATAAATCAGAAAAAACAGAATCTTTAAAATTATCGTAAGTTGTGTTACATGTACATGTACACATATTCATGTAATGTAATGTGTGCAAATTTTTGTCTTCTAATTAAAGGGTAAGTCCGGTGTATTTTTGGTGAATTTTTTTTATTGGCTTAATATGATTGCCTGACCATAATAATGATGTATTCCAACTCCCATTGTCTAAAAAATTTTTTTCACTGAGATATGAGCCTTCAAAGATGCTCATTTTTATTACTTCCTGTCAGTGGGTGTGGCTAAACGTGACGTCACTAGAGGCATAGATGCAGATAACTCCATTTCTTTA